ATTGGAATATGAAGCATGACCTTTGAGTCAGATATGTGATTTTTCGTATTTTAGCTGTAAAAATTTCGTTTAGTCTCAGATCGCCGATTTCAGATCTCGCACCAACGTTTTTTGAAATAAGTGTGCACAGAGAGATTGTACAAAGAGAGATTGCTTGTTTTGGCATTTTCCATACCTTCTGCTATACATCTTCTCTACAAAAGAGTGTTCAAGTCCGCCTGCAAAGAAGTCCGCTGAGGTCCACTTCTCACATTCTTCTTCATGGACTGATAGCGGCAATGAACGAGACAGGTGACAGGCATCTAAACCAAGTAATAATGCTAGTGTGCGTTCTGAGTCGATGAGAGGTGACGACACTGTAAGGGCGCTATCAAGGGCGAACTCTTGTTCAGGCTGTCAAACGAATAAATATATATCCAAGAATTTTATTCATGGCATCACGAAGATGTTTAACTTGAACTGATAACAAGCATTCCATGCATATCTTTTTTTTCCTCCTATATATCCTGGTCTCTTTTCAAAATCCCTGTAATTATTTCCCGTCACCATACCGCGTTTTTATTTTTTCTTATTTCGAGTATATAAATCTTAATTGTCCTATAACACTATGACGTCAAAAGCATGTTTACAGTGGTGGGCAGAATCGATAAAAACAATGGGAATTTCGAGTTATCTTCTTTCTCTTCGAAACTGGTTTGGTTTCAAATTTTCTAATTTCCATATATGTTGTGTGTCAATGTTTATCTTTCGATATTAATGGTATTTTGTTGTCATTCCTTCCTTTTCCCTTTCGTAAATGCTATTTTATCTGTGTTATTATCATTCTGTCCACCTCTAGCGACCATGATCCTTAGCGTTAAAACAATAGACTGTTTTGATGTGACATATAATATGATAATATAATAATATAATATGAGATAATAGATAATAGATGACATAATCTATAAACAGACCTCAACATAGATGCCAACAAAAAGTGCTTGCATCATTTCACGAGATTCACTTGAGTGGTGAGCTTCTTCAAATGCTTGTGTAGCATCACATGCTGCAAGACGACATAACAGTTATAACATAACTGTGCAATGTGGGCAAAACATATGGGTCCCCCTTGCTACGCTCCTTTAGAGCGATTCCAATGAAATGGTATCGTTGTCGTAAGCCAGTAAAGTGGGTTTTTCACTCACAAACACAAAAAACGATCTCATATAATTACGGAGCTGTTACGATTTAACTGTTACAATTCGACTACTATAACCGGGGCCACTGAGACAGAGAGAACCAATCATGTAGAATAATTGTAGAATAATTGTAGAATAAAAACGATATATCCCGACTTTGGATAGTGAATCCAATCAGAAATCAGCAGAAAATAATACCCTTTCGACATATGTTTTTATTCCCACGAAAAAATGACGATCGCTATCTAGTTGTTTACACGCAACATCAGGGTCAAATTACAATTCTTGTGCAGTCTAGGTTTCTGATTGGCTCCACTATCCAAAGTTTGAATGCATTGTTTTCATTCTACATTTTACTTGGTTCTCTTGTCTAACTGGTCTAAGTGGCCCCGGTTACATTGGTTGCACTGTTAACACATTAATCTTACTGGCATAGTGCTGGAGCAGTTCCTTGCTACAGGGAGCCTGTAGAGATAAAATAAGACCCCATCAGTTTAAGTTACTCGTAGGTCTTACCGACACCTATTTACAACTGCCCCACCTGCCCCTCCCTTTCCCAATCCCCTTAGGTTTAGCTGCCATTGCAACAAAAATTATGATGATACTGACCTGATCTTTAAAATCAGACAAGTCATAAACTTTGCCATGTATAACGACCCATAGACCTCCTTCTTTATTTTTGTTCTCTAGATCGGCTGGTCTAATGAGAGTGACATCATCGGCACAATGATGAGCCGGCGTTGGGCTCCCTTTGGTAAAAAAGAAACACGTCTTAATGTCTTGGTGATTGGATTTCGTGCTTTACAATTATTTCCAAGAGAATGGAATAATAATGGCGGCAATGTAATAAAGAAACAAGAGGGCAGCTACAACAACCAGTAATAGACCCCTTGCACGTCAAAGGAGTTCAATGTGGAGGGCAAAACAAAAGTATTTATTCTGTTGAGAATTGGTAATCTATGTTATATCCTCCAATTAAACTGCATTCCAAAGTGCTGCGAGGGGTGTATTCTGTGATGTTGTTCTACTTTTAAAGGACCTTTACTATTAAGACGTTGGTAGCTGTCATTTAGGGATTTCAGTTACAGGTGTTCTGTAGTATATAATGCAAATAATACTAACAAAAAAATACCAACCTATCCCTCCAGGCCAAGCCAAGTCTTCCTCATCCTCCTTGTTTACTCCAGGTGCAAGTTTATTGAACTTATCCAACATGTCAAGCAATCCAGCCAGTACTGTGATTATCTGGACAGTTTCAAGCACTGCTGGCAAAGATGTTTGTAGGAGTACAATAGAAGTTAGCAGCTCTGGTAAAAGTACCCCAACATATTCTCTTTGGATAACCTGAGCTGATGCCACAAAGTACCTTGGCCCATTAGCTGCAACTGTTGAGGCTATGGGCAATACCTCTCCCACATGGGAACAAAGAAGAGTTATGTACTTATGAAGCAACAAGGCTGTTCCCATCTGCTTTTTAGAAGGGGGAGGATCTTCACCTGAAAGATATACAGAGGAAAATAATAAAGTTTAAGGGAGAAGGCCTACACGAGATATCCAAAAACAAAAACAAACAAAAACACAAAGAACTACGTATTAATTTTTCCGAATTTAATTCCAAGGGCTTTCGCCCGGAATAACCTCGTTCCCAAGCACTATAACTTATCTATATTCTATATCTTCATGTATTTCATAAGTACCACGTGGTCCACATACTAAAACAAATTTTTTTATGCCTTTGTGTTAAGGTTAAGTACAATTTGAAGAAATAAGTCTGTAGTCAAGGGAGACAGTATTGTTTCACAAATTTGAAAAGAGTCTCTGGAAGATCTCTAAGAATTTTTGAACAAATAATTTAAAAAATGCTGGTTGGCAGGCATTCAGTGTATATTGTGGAATGAATTTCTTTACCATTGCTAATAAACCATGGTTTCTCGCTTTCTTCTTTAGTAAACAGGTTACCAATAAGAAGTCGTTGTAATTTGAGTAGCAATTCTACAGTAGTCGTTCTAGCAGGAGGGGTGTAAGGCCATCGTAATTTAGGAGGTTTCAAGATCATCTCCTGAAACTCTGCTCTAACATGGGTGCTAGAAGTCTTTAGGAGTTGCTGAGCCAGGTGCAGGATTGGCACGTTGCTTGCAAAATCTTTTGTCTCAGTTCCTTTGTCTTTATCTTTCTCGATCTTGTAGTTGCTTATCTCGTTTTCTATTGCATTTTCCAAAGCCAACTCAAGGCTGCCATCTGCCATCAGGCTATTGACAAGCAGTTCAGACATGAACTTTTTTCCTGAATGGATTACTGCTGGTTTGTCACAAGCTGTGTAATCAATGCACAGTGGTGAGTAATAAGTCAACATTTAAGAGAGGATGTCAGCAAAAATCGAACATACGTCGGCAACAGTCGAAAAATCGAATTTTCTCATATTTTAGCATTAGGAAGACCTTGATGCGATATAACCCGTGGTATACTTCATTTGCCAAAATATCGCTTTATTTCCGAGAAAAACGAGGAAAACCAATTTGTGCATAATTGACCCTCTGAGAGAGCCAAAATATCATCCAACTTCGAGTGCCTCGCGTGCCTTTGCAAAAATGTGTATGGACTTGATTGTTGAAAAACTTTTTTTAACATTGTCTTGGCTTTAAATCTGTTAAATTTTATTATTTTCCAATAAATTTATGTTGGCGAAAAATTTTTTATTACCAAGTTACTTT